AGAGGTTGCTGATGTTTCTCCCTGAAATCTAGAAATCTGCTCTCTGGGCTGGCGGCTGCTCTGGCAGCACCTCTCTCTCCCTGGCTTAGGAATGAGCAGCCCGTTGTGACAGTGGTGGGCGCTGGGCCTTGGGCTGCACACAACCGCTCACTGCCTCAGCCCAGCCAGTCCCCACGAGGTGGCTAACGTATGGCTAAGCCCAAGCAGGCTGCCTGAGGGGCTCCTGCTTCTGGACTATCCACCAATAAAAGGGAATAAACTCTATCTATTTTATATATAGTATCAATAGTGTATACATGTGAATCCCAGTTTCCCAATTCATCCCACCCCTCTTTCCTCAAAATGTATTTTTTAACATTTAGTGAATAAAAAATTATTTTCATACTATTTTTATTTTACCTGGCTTAGACAGATTTGGGTCACACTTTTTCCCCCCCACACTGCAAGACGTGTGGGATCTTAATTCCCCAACCAGGGGTGGAACTTGAGTCTTTGGCAATGAAAGCACAGTGTTAACCACTGGACTGCCATGGAGTTCCCTGGGTCATACTTCCTATTTTCAATTCTATTAAGGCAGGTACTTCAGTTAAACCATTTTCTCTTTTCCTTTATATCATAGACGTATTCAACCCTAGCTAACATTAGAATCACTTCGACTGTTTTCCAGAGATTCTTATGTAATTGGTCTGCAGTGGGACTCCAACCTAGATTTTTTTTTTCATTATAAATTAAGTGGTTCTAATATGTAGGCAAGATTGAGAATCACTGCACATATTACTTGATCTTCTTTCCTAATTATTCCTATTTATTATGATGTTCTCTTTAACGTAAAGTCTACCTAATCAGCAACATGATATACTTATCCATTTACTCCAGTTTTTAATTTCTGACAGTGAAGTGCAGTAATTGTCTTTGCATAGATTCTGTCTGTCCTTCATTAGACTAATTCTTATTGTTTAAGATTTTTATTTATTTATTAGCTTAGTTTTATTTTTGGCTGCACTGGGTCTTCATTGCCGTGCAGGCTTTTCTCTACTGGTGGCGAGCAGGGGCTCCTCTCTAGTTGCAGTGCTTGGGCTTCCTGTTGCAATGGCTATCTTGTTGCAGAGCACAGGCTCTAGGCACACAGGCTTCAGTAGTTGTGGCCTGAGGGCCCAGTAGTTGTGGTGCATGGGCCTAATTGTTCCAAGGCATGTGGGATCTTCCTAGAGGAGGGATCGGTCTAGTGTCTCCTGCATTGCAAGGAGGATTCTTAACCTCTGGATCACCAGGGAAGCCCCTAGGCCAATTCTTAAACCGGTGGTATAGGCTTTCTATACCAAAATCAGGATAAAGTAAAAATAAATCTCATCAATCTGATTATGGAGTTTCAAATATCTTTGATCAGCTCTTCTGTGTATATAGCTATAGATATTTGTGTCCTTGTTTTCACTGTTCAGAAAATGATTCTTATTATTAGGCCAGTGGAATCATCTGTGGTAAACCCTGTTACCTAAGAGCCCTATGGCATTAATACTAGCCAGCCGGTGGAGATCTTTTAGTTCATTTATTGAACTAAATCTCTATGTGCTAAGAGCTGAAGGCAGATGAATAGGACAGTTTCCTTATCAAGAAGCATTTAGAGTTGTCAGTGGTTACCAAAAAAATCGCTGTATTTCAAGTTCTCACGTACCTCCTTCAGGGTCAGCAGAGCTGAGCAAATGAATTCTAAGCCTTTCTTAGTGAAGTGTAGGGATTAAGAGTATTGGTCCTGGAGGCAAACAGCCTGGGATTTTATCCTTACTTTACTAACTAGCCATGAGGCTGTGGGCAAGTAACCTAACCTCTCTGCTCAGTCTCTGTAAAGGGGAGAAAATAATAAGTTACCTTATGAGGTTGTTATAAGAATTAAATGAATTATATGTGGAAAGTCTTTAGACCTCTACCTGGCATATAATAAACACTTAATATATACTATATTATTATTTGGGGGTGGGGGATTAGCAAGTGGCACTAGCTGAATAGTGAGCGGAGTGCAGAACACAGTGGGAGACATTATTCAGGGCATCTTTATAACAAATATCCTCTTCTTTTTCCCCCTCTTCCTTTTTCTCCTTTCTTGCTTCACATCTCTCTCACTTGTCCCCTCTCTTTCTGAAACAATTCAGTCCAAAATCCATTAGATAACACCAAGGAAGGATTACTATGAACAACTGTATGTCAATAAAGTAGAATATATACATGAAATAGAAAAATTTCTAGAAAGACATACTACTAAAACTCAGGAAGAAATAGTCAGTCTAAATAGATCTATAACAAGTAGAGAGATTCTATTAATAATCAAAAACTTACCACAGAGAAAACACCAGGCCTAGACGACTTCACTGCTGAATTCTACCAATCATTTAAAGAAGAATTGATATTAATTTCACACAAATTCTTCCAAAAAATAAGAGAGGAACACTTTCCAACTCATTCTATGAGACCAGTATCATCTAGATACCAAAACCAAAGACATCAGAAGAAAACTACAGACGAGTATCTTTTAAGAATACAGATGCAGAAGTCCTAAACAAAATACTGGCAAACCAAATGTAGCGTGTAAGAAAGAATTGTACGCTAGGACCACATGAAATTCATTTCAGAATGCAAAGTTGACTTAACATTCTTAAATTAATTAATGTAACATACTGTATCAATAGAATAAAAAGACAAAACCACATTGTCATCTCTAGATGCAAGAAAAAAAGCATTTGACAAAATCTGATGTCCTTTCATCATAAAAAACACAACATATTAGAGAATATCCTCAACTTGATAAAGTGTGTCTACAAAAACCCCTTAGATAACATTATACTTAATGGTGATAGACTGGATGTTTTCCCCTAAAGGTCGAATAAGACAGGGATATCCATTCTCACCACTCCTACTCAACTTTGGAGATTCTAACAAGTACAATTAAGTACTTAATTAAAATAAAAGGTATCCAATTTGGAAAGGAAGAAGTAAAACAATCTTTCTTTGCAGATGACGTGATCTTGAAGTATATGAAAATCCTAAGGAATTTACCAACAAACAAGTTCACAAGTTTGAAGAATTCAAGACCAATACATAAAAATCAATTGTATTTTTTATACATGTACAACTAAAAACAAAAATGAAATTAAGAGAACAATTCTATTTACAATAGCATCCATAGAATAAATTTAACAAAAAGAAGTGTAAAACATATACTCTGAAAACTATAAAACATTCTCAAAAGAAGTTAAAGAAGGTGTAAGTAATTGGAGAAGCATCCTTATTTGTGTATTGGTAGGTTTAACATTGTTAAGATTGCACTACTCCCCAAATTGATCTACAGATTCTACACAATTCCTATCAGAATCCTAGCTGACTTTTTTGCAGAAATGTATAAGCTGATTCTAAAATTCATATGGAAGTTCAAAGGATCCAGGAGAACAAAAACATTCTTGAAAAAGTTGGAGAACTCACCACTTGTTGATTTCAAAACTTACTACAAAGCAACAATAATTGAGAAAGTATGGTACTGGCATGAGATATACATGTAAATTAGTGAAACAGAATTAAGGTCCAGAGATGAACTCATGGGACTGTAATCAGCTAGTTTTCAACAAGGACACAAAGACTAATGTGGGAAAGAATAATCTTTTCAACATGTCATGCTGCAAAAATTAGATAACCATATGCAAAAGAATGAAATGGAATCCTTACATCATATTACTAATACTTATAAAATTAACTCAAAAGGATCAAAGACTCAAATTAAAAGCTAAAACAATACAACTCTCAGAGGAAAACAGGAGAAAATCATCATGAACTTGAGTTTGACAAAGGCTCCTTAGATTTGACACCAAATGCAAAAACAATAAAAGAAAAAATGGATAATTTGAATTTCATTAAAATTAAAATCTTTTGTGCTTTAAAGAACACTATCAAGAAACGCAAAGATGGGACTTCCCTGGTGGTCCAGTGGCTAAGACTCCATGGTCCCAAGAAAGGGGCCCAGGTTCGATCTCTGGTCAGGGAACTAAATCCCACATGCATGAGGGTTTGCATGCTGCAACTCAGAGATGGTTACCTCAACTAAGACCCAGTGCAGTCAAATAATAAATAAATAAGAATTTTAAAATATTACTTATAAAAAAAAAGGAGTGCAAAGACAACAAGAAAATTGAGAGAAAATATTTGCAAATTATATATCTAGTAAGGTACCTTATATCCAGAATATGCAAAACTCATAAAACTCAATAATAAAAAGATAAATAGACCAATTTAGAAATAGACAAATGATCTGAATAGACATTTCTCCAAGGAAGATATGCAAATGAATAATAAACTCAAGAAAAGATGCTTGTCATCGTGGAAATGCAAGTAAAAACCATGATAAGAAATCATTTCACAGCCAGTAGGAAGAATAGAATCAAAAAGTCAGCTAAACAAATGTTAATGAGGATGTTGGAAAAGTCCAAACTCTCACACACTGCTTTTGGGAGAGTAAAATAGGGCAGCTGCTTTGGAAAGCAGTTCATAAGTTCTTTGAATGTAACTCTTTGAACACAGAATTGTCTTGAACCAGTAATTTTACTCATAGGTATATACCCAAGAGAAATAAAAACATTTTATATACACTAAAACATGTAGACACATGTTTGTTGCTGTTGTTCAGTCGCTGAGTTGTGTCCAACTTTTAGGTCTGTCATAGCTTTTCTTTAAGGAGCAAGCATCTTTTAATTTCATGACTGTAGTCACCATCTGTAGTGATTTTGGAGGCCAAGAAAAAATAAAATCTGTCACTGTTTCCATCTTTTTCCTCATCCGGAGAAGGGAACGGCAAGCCACTTCAGTATTCTTACCTTGAGAATCCCATGAACAGTTGCATTAGGCCTCAGTAATTTTTCTAAGATTTCCAGTTGATATCAGTTTTTATGGAATTTCTTATATCTCAAGATATAAATTGATTTTGAGAAACGGTAATTATTATTATATAAAATAGACGAGAACTAGTTGAAGAGATTAATTTATTGGAAAAGGAATGCTTTTTTATTGATAGCTACATGTATTATTAGCAGGAGTCATTAATCAGGTGCCAGAGGAAAGAATCGACCACCTTAGGAACACGCTGCTAAAAGCCAGCCAGTTCATCATCCTTGGTTTTGTCAACTTGGTAGCCAGTAAGTTTCAAAGACTGATTTTGTTGAGGAAGGCTTTTGAATACTTTAATGTGAATATAACGATTATCACCTGTTTGTATCTGGAAGTTGAAAAAGAAAATGGAGATTGATTTATTTGTGTGGATCCGTATCAAATGAAAAATACAAACCTATAAAGACGTCGCTGCAATAACCTCTTTTGGAATAGCATTCCTGGACCACCATTTTTAGACCCTTGGTTCCATGGACAGAGGAGCCTGGCATGCTACAGTCCATGGGGTCGCAAATAGTCAGACAAAACTGAGTGACTAACACTTACATAAACCTACCACTTTATTTTTATAAGAGAAAGGACAGGTTAAAGACATGGCAAGAGGCATAGGTCCCGTACACCAATGAAATCCAGAGTTACATTTTATTTTCTAGGATGCACAGATCAAGAAAACAGGTGACAGCCTTTTCTGTGATTCTATTTTCTGACTCCCAAATTGGGATACGTTGTCACATCATTTGAAGAAGAAGAAAATCAGAATTGCCCTAGAAAATTTGGGATGTGTTGTTCCCATATCTATACCAGAACTTGCTTTATAAATGCCCAGAGGTAAAACTGAGCAGGGCCCAGGGATGGAGAATCTAGTTTTTCTTCTAAAATAAAAGGATCTTCCTGGGAAATCATTTGTATGAAGACTGAAATGGTAGTTTGGACATGAATCTGGGACCTAGAAAACTATGATAAGAATTTCCACTTTTGTTTTTGGTTTAGACAATGAAAATTCTAAAATATTTATTTATTTATTTGGCTGCCCTGGGTCTTAGTTGCAGTAGGCAGGATCTTCTATTTTCATTGTGACATGCAGGTTTTTTAGTTGTGGCTCACAAACTGTTAGTTGTGGCAGATGGGATCTAGTTCCCTGACCAGGGCTCGAACCTGCGCCCCCTGCATTGGGAGCATGGAGTCTTAGTCTCCGGACTATTAGGAAGTCCCCATGTATTTAAATTACATTAATCAAAATGCTTATTTAAAGGGTGAAAGTGATTTAAATTATTTTCTCAACTACTGATTCAAATCATTCCTTAGGTTCATTCAATTCAGGCACATAGAATCACAAAGCTTTGAGACAGAAAGAGCTTCAAGATAGCATCTGGTCCAGCCCCACATCCCGAAGATCCCACATGAAGAAGCCATGGTTATGAGCTAAACACACTCTGAATTCCGAATCTTTTTCTTTAGATCTTCTGGAAATTAAGTTAAGAATCAGTAGAAGAAAGCCTTCTAATATCACAAGAAAAAGATGATATAAATATACCATCATGTGCCAAGTTTGAGAGTTAACACTTGGGAAGTATCATGCTAGGTAGGTGTCCTGATTTAGGATGAGGAGAAGGAACAAATGATAAAGTAAGGATGACAGGAACATCACATAAAATGAAAGATACAATATCTTTTAGTGCTGAAGTGAATGTTGAATTCTAACCTTAATGTAGTAATTTATTCCAGCAACCACTTGAGTTTTATATTCTATAGCTGTAAATTCTTCATATGTCTCATTTGTTTTTTCTTCAAGCTGCGGTTTAACCTTAAGAAAAGAAGAGTATGAAACAGAAGTCATGTTTTTACATCAAGACAAGAGAAGTTTAAACAACAAAAAAAAATTCGCTGCCCATTGGCCTCCCCTTTCCTGGCCCACACTGTGCATTGTGTATCCGCAGTATGCATCGACCAAACCACCCCCATTAGCAGGAATACCTGCTCAACCATAAAGAGCAACGTTCTCTTAGCATCAACAAGACAACTCCTTCAAAGATAATATTCCTCCTTGATCTTGTAAGGTGTCACATGACATACCATATTGCTGCTTAGATCTGGATTAAATAAACTGTCAACTAAACATCATTTGATGTACAGCCCTTGGTCTCAAAAACTTATATAACTGTGCCTTGACTTCTAATGGGTGGAACATTAGATGAACTTTCTGAGATGCTCTTCCTGGGTTATAATCCTCAAATTCAGCTCGAATAAAATTTCCATTTCTTTCTTAAATGAGCTGATCAATTTTTTGTCAACAAATGGAAACAAATTACCAAAGCTATATTGAACTCCATGTAAGTGATTTACAAATTTGTTAAATATGTGTTTGCAAATAGTTAAATACATCTTTGATTAATAAAAGTGGGAGACCAGTAATTCCTACTTAATTACAAAGTTTTTTTATTTTGAAATAATTTCAGGGACTTTCCTGGTGGTCCAGTAGTTAAAGACTTTGCCTTCCAGTGAAGGGGACACAGGTTTGATCCTCGGTTGGGGAACTAAGAATCCACATACGTTGTGATCAAAAAACCAAAACGTAAAACAGAAACAATGTTGTAACAAATTCAATAAATAATGACTTCAACAAAAATTGTCCACATTAAAAAAAGATCTTAAAAAAAAATTTCAGACTCAAATTTGCAAAAATAGTATAGCATATCTCAAGGTCCTTAATTTAATCACATCTGCAAGTCCCTTTGCCATGGAAGGTTTCAGGGACTAGAATGTGGCCATCTTTGAAGGCCATTCTTCTGTCTACCAGAGGGGGATACAAGCTTAGATGCCAGCATTCCTGAACCAAGCATGAAAAGGCAGCTGGAGAATCTCAAATGGAATATGTAAATTTTTACTAAGTCCATCAGTTTTCAGTACGGGGTCTCCCTATACTGAAATCCTGCTCTCAGCTGGGCATGATACACTAGTGCCCGCTATGGTTTCTCTGACTCAGTTTCTGCTAAGAGTAGAGTTCTAATCTTCTGTCTGTGTGGAGGACTGGAAATAGCTTGTCTTTTAGGGTGGAGAATAGTGAGAGGGAAGGACCTAGGCACAGTGTAACTGCTTCTCAATCTTCCATCAGTTCTCCTGGTTTTAGCTGCATGGCTCACTCTTGTCTTCCTAGGTTTCTGATGTTGCCAGTGCTTGAGCCATTTTGGAGTTCTGCACCATGAATCTGCTTGCTTCTGACTCAGACATTCCCCTATGTGGCTTAGGCTCTGTCTAAATGACTCAAATAATTTTACATTGTTTGTGTTTTCCATCTTTCAAAGTTTTGTTGAAAAAAAATCCACAAAATAATGTTGATATCTCTGAGGTGTTTGCCTGTCTCTCATTGTCTTCATATTTGTGGGTGTGACTTTCCCCTCTAACCTTTTCTTATCACTTAGAAGGAAAGGAAACAAGTGTGTGTGTTTGATACACTGTGTTTATTGGGAAGTTGCCTCCCTGCCCATAACTTTTTATGTGCATATATGGCTTCAATCAGGCCTCCAGTGCATCTAGGGTTCTCCCAAGGCCATCTGGTCCTTCTCTTCAGTGGGCAAATGGTTTGAATCCTTTTCTATTGATGCCTCAGTTTGGGTACCACAACCATTTTCAAAGACCTAGACATTTGGGGAGTTCCCTGGCAGTACAGTTGTTAGGACTTGGTGTTCTCATGGCCAGGGCCTTGGTTCAATCCCTGATTGGGCAATGAGAGCCTGCAAGCTGCATGGCACAGCCAAAAAAACACTTAGACATTTGCAAATTCTTTGAGCTCTCAGACCATTTTTGAAGGGCAGACACTTCATGGACCACCAGCCATTTCTACTGTATAGTTGGGAAATCTCCAGAATAGATGGGAAAAATGTGATTGATTTTTGGGGATGGAAAGTGAGGTTGCAAAGCAGAGAAAGGAAGAAGACAAGTAGTGAAAAAAAAAGAGAAATGGGAAGAGACAGGGCACAAGAAAGAGAAGAGAAAAGTGGCGAAGTGTGCAGAGAGAATGAGCTAGGGAAGAGTTCAGTGTCTTTTTTTTTTTTTGTCTTTTGGTGTTGTAGTTTATTTATTTTTTTTTCCATTTATTTTTATTAGTTGGAGGCTAATTACTTTACAACATTGCAGTGGTTTTTGTCATACATTGAAATGAATTAGCCATGGATTTACATGTATTCCCCATCCCGGTCCCCCCTCCCACCTCCCTCTCCACCCCATCCCTCTGGGTCTTCCCAGTGCACCAGGCCCAAGCACTTGTCTCATGCATCCAACCTGGGCTGGTGATCTGTTTCACCCTAGATATACAAGTTCAGTGTCTTATTGCTTCCCCCATCCTCACCCTTTGGAGCCAATACTGGGTACCTGTCACGTTAGGAGCTGAGTTGGGAAGGGTTAATCTTGACACTAAACCCTGAATTATCTATTTAAGCTTTACTTTGCAGGCGAGGAACCTGAGGCTGTGAGAGAACATGACAGTTAAAGGATGAAAAATTATTAATTATACTTAAAGCTTTAAATACCTTGAATAGTGAGTATCTGGTTTATCTTTTTTTGAACCCTGTATCAGATATTTTTATTTCTTATTGTCCCAGAAACACATCCAAATCTGTAATTTGGGTTTTCCCATAATATCTATGCAGCCCACAAGTCCAGAATTTTCCATTGGAGAGTTGATTTCAAATGTCCTTGTTCATTTTCATAAGTGCATGGACACCTGCCAGACTGTGCACCCTGACTGCAGGTTCACCATACTTACAGCCTGTAGCCCTGCTCCTTCTTTCCAGCAAAACAGATTTGTATTGCTCTATTGTTGGATGCTATGAACCTGGATGATGAGATTTCAGGTGAGGAGGAGGAAAGGGGAGGAGGAAAGGGGAAGAGTAGAAAGGAGTTGATCATGAAACCTTAAGAAGGTAGGTTGGTGGTGAAAGATCCCCCCAGGATGGGTGCTAGGAGGGTGAAGACCAGTGGGGAATGGTGGTCCAGTGTGGTGGTAAATAGACAAACATTAAGCTGTGCATAGTTGCCCCTTACTTTCTTCAATCTGCATGCATGGTGGTGGTTGAGGTGCTGAAGGGAACGGTATAGGTTGGGGTCCAAACCAGGGGAAGGACGCTATCAGGGAGGAGCAGCTGATAAAGTGCAGTCACCCCAGAGCTGTTCAAGCTTTTCTTGTTGCTGCAGAGGATGAATCTTGGTGAGTAGTTAATTCTCTGGGATATGAGGAGTTCAGCCTTGCTGCACCAAAGATACAGGCATTTCTCCTACCTTCCCCAACCTGTAATCATCCTGCAGAAACACACTTGGGCTATGCATAATTTAGGAAAAATGAATAGAAGGATTATGGTGGCAGCATGGATAGGCCATTTTTGCAACGTTTTAGAGAGTAACAAAGAGTTTGTGTAGCAGCATGAAAGTACAGTGGGGTTGGTGAGAGGTGGCTTGTGGACATTTGTCGCCTATGTTTTGAGGGCCAGAGAAGTATGGGGCAAGGCAACCAGCATACAAGAAATAATGGCACCTGCCTTAAGAAAGGAGGACAAAGTCCTAGACCACAGAGAGGCATGCAGTCAGCAAGGAAAAGTAAATCAGAGGGTTTTCACACCAGATGTCTGCAATCTTCTAAGAGAAAGAACTGAAATGCCATCTGGTCAGGCCATGGGGATTGGAAGGACTGAGAACCTGAGGCGAGAGGTCCAGTTCCACCTCTGTAGGGCTTCTAGAAAAGAACCCACAGGATGTGACTGGAAGGCTATCCGGCCACCCCAGGGCCCTGTAGCCATTATTCACTGGTATGAATTCATAGATTTGTAAAGGGTGAGTTTTCTGTGATTCTACATCTTCCTTGAGCAAAGTTCTCTGAAGCTGGAGTAGAATCTGAGGAGGAAGTGGTGGCAGTGGGAGTGACCTCTGATTGAGGACTGGAATGCCAGAGCTCACGGGGTCATGGAAATCAGGGTGGAGGAGCGTAGGAAACCACCCATGATGGGATCCAGCTGGGTGAATGATCGAGTGGGCTGAGGCATGCTCTGATGTAGAAGGGAGGTTAAGTGCCTGAAGGACTCTGGTGTGGCTGAACCGCAGCTTCTCTGTACGTGGGGGCGATGGAAGAGCTGCTTGATGAGAAGGCTGTGGTCAGAGAGGAGAACACACATTTGTGGGTGAGTAAGAGCCACAGCATGCTAAGCTCCCGGGTGTGTCCATAATGGTGTGCAGATGGGGTGTTTGTGTGTTGTTTTTGTTGTAGGTTTTGTGTGGTGTCCTGGCAGACAAAAGTTATGATCTGTGTGTATGCCAGGAATGGTATTCAGCAGCCAGGTTTGACTTAGAGATGTGTATGCTCATGTGTATGTTTTGTGTGTATGCATCTGTGTGTGTGTAATAATAGCTCTTATTTCTAAAAATAAAAATTATTGCTATAACATTTCTTTCCTGTATATAAACATACTCAGAATTCTCATCCAATGATTTTTCACATATGACATAAGATAATGGATCAGCCAAAATGACCCAGAGGCTCTTGCCAGTGGGCCCTTCATTTGGTCCTTAATTACATATATTAAGTGTTTACATAATAAATAATCACACATATCAATAATTTACATCTTAAATAATTAATTACACATATTAAATACACATATTCAGGGATGGGGCCATGCTTGAGTCTTTGTTTCCTTGTGTGTATCCCTTTTCTTCAACTTATTTTACAAATTTCCCTGAGGGTAGGACCATGTTTATGTCCCTTCTCTTCCTATTGCAATTTACTCAGTACTGTGTACATAATTGATTTTCTCTTTTATTTTAATTTTAATTTTGGCCACACAATGTGACTTGTGGGATCTTAGTTACCTGACCAGAGATTGAACTCAGGCCCTCAGCAGTGGGAATGCTGAGTCCTAACCACTGGACCACCAGGAAATTCTCAAATCAAAGTTTTCTGAATGAAGAAACCAGGGTTGTTTTCCCTCATAATAGCTTGTTTCCCCAGATAGGAAAGAAGATAGAAGAGAAGTAGAGAGAATATTGAAGGAGGGGCTTTTTTCCTCTGTACTCTGGAGAAGGAAACGGCAACCCACTTCAGTACTCTTGCCTGGAAAATTCCATGGATGGGGGAGCCTGGTAGGCTACAGTCTGTGGGGTCACAAAGAGTCGGACACGACTGAATGACTTCACTTTCTTTCTTTCTATAGTTCCTTTGGAGAAGGAAATGGAAACCCACTCCAGTGTTCTTGCCTGGAGAATCCCATGGACAGAGGAGCCTGGTGGGGCTACAGTCTATGGGATTGCAAAGAGTCAGACACGACTAAGCAACTAACACACTCTGGACCCAAGTACCGTTAACAGCCTTTAATACCTGATACCACCTATTACCATCCAGTCTCTCTTATCTTCAGAATAGAGAAAGTCCTTCCTTCTGCCTTCAAACATGTTCAACACTTCTCCACCCCAAGCCCTTTGTTTGGTTTTCTTCTCTTTCTGATCCAAGCTCTCTCTTTCATTCTGATGTCAAATTCCCTGGACCTGTGGTCATCACTTTTCTCTGATGCTCTCCCCCTTATGTGTGATGACCTCCCCCCCTCTTTGCCTCCCTACCGGGTCCTTCCTTCAGCTCGAATTCCACTGAGAAGCTCTCTGATAAAAACAGGGAAGGCTGATAAACTTCATCTCCTCCAAGTATATCTGCATTTTAATAGGTGAATTTTAAAACTAGAAACACAGTAAAACAGCAAAGGAATAAGACTTCAAGGTAAATGACAGGTAAGTGGAGGTCTTCCCTGGGACCCTATCAAATCACATTAAGAATGTAATTACCTACACATATCCATTTCCCTGGCCCTGCCCAGGAACGTAAATAATTCTATAATTTGGAGAAGGTGTTGGTTAAATTTCCTCACCAAAAAACTGGTTGGAGTAATATCTGCCTCTTGGGGTTTTTTTGTGGGGGAATGAATGATATAATTGAAGTGAAAGTGCTTCCTAAACTCTAAAATGTTTTCTGTGCTGACTATTCCTCAATATTCCAGCCCTTAAACTGGGAATTGTCACCTGAGGCTGTCTCCTGTGACTAAGGGAATACAAGTGATAATTGTGAGATTAGTACTGGAGGAACAGAGCTGCCACACAGGAATTATTCACCTGAAAGTAAGAATGTTTGACCAGTAATCTCTATATTTTTCCTGGTTCCAAACCTATGATTATGAAAAAGCACTTAACTGGAAAATGTTTTATATTATGCTCTAGATATCTTGACTTCCCTAAATGGGTTGTAAACTTCCTGAGGGCAGGGGCTATATCTTATAGTCCTTATGGATCTTCTATAACATTTAACACAACGCTGGACACCTAAGAGGTATTCAAGAAATGATTCATTGATATTCATTTTTCATATTGATTTAAAGGAAGGCTGGCTGCTTGCACAGAGAAGGCAAGTTTGCAACATTGTTTCCTCCCAGTATATTCTCCTCACTCCACAAGCTTCATCATGTTGCTGCCATAAATCTGGAGATAGGCGAACTTCTTGATTAGATGGTTATTAACCTCTTTGAATCTCAGTTTCATCATCTGAAAAACTGATGTGATGTCTTCCCTCCTTCCCCCAGGGATTATAAAATTCAAATGAAAGGCTGAATGAAGGACAAGGCTATCAAAACTGCAAAGCATCTTTCTGGGCTGATGTAGCTACTCAATAATTAACTCTTATTCTACCTCTCTGACAGAGTTGAAGCCCAAGGTGAGCCGGAAGAAACACACTTTCAACTTAATTTATACATTTAAGGTGTGGCTTACTGATAGATGTTATTAATAATGCAAGGCCTTCTTATAAGTTGTTACTTAAAAAAATTATACTTGCAAACCAAGATAGGCTTTATAAAAATCATTACAATTTTCTGCACCTTCTATCTTCTATATTTCAAATATCTGTTATTCCCAGCCCCCTTAGAGCTCTGGTCCCTGGAGAGTCTCAGGAATTTTCCCAGGTCAGGAATAATCTCAAGCAAAAATCAAAAGTAAACAATTGTGATGCCTCACTTATGCACGTTCACTTCCAAGTCATTTCTTTTTTTTGGCTGTGCTTCGCAGCATGCAGGATCTTAGTTCTCTGACAAGGGATTGAACCCATGATCCCTGGATTAGAAGCATGGAGTCTTAACCACTGGACCACCAGGGAATTCCCTCCAAGTCTTTTTTATGCATGTGCTCTTAGTCCTTACAGCTTGGAGTGGCAAGGCAAGAGGTGTTATTTTCACTTCACAGATGAAATTGAGAGTCTTTTGCTGCCCTCTGATTTTAGAAAGCCTATCTCCTGTCAACTTCTCAGAATACCCTGTATCTCTAGTCCTGCAGGCAAGTGAGGTCATGGACCACAGTCTGGGCATCACCAGAGCTGATTAGAAATGCAGAACCCCAGGCCTATCCTAGACCTACTGAGTCAGAATCTGATCTTTTAACAAGACTTCCAGGTGATCCGTGTGCCCATTCAAGTTTAAGAACACTGACAATATAGGGATTCCAGTGAAGGCATTAGTGACTTAATATTGTCTTCTTCAAGAAAGGACAAGTGAGAAGGTATTTACTGTTTTAAAAGAACACTTGAAAGGAAAATACTTATCCCCGCAGAATGAGTGATAGAATTCCAGGCAAAAGAGACCTTCTCTGTGCTCTAACATAGAGAATCCTATCTCTTCCACTTACACGTGAAGCTAGTCTTTGCCAGTGTCATAGAATGAAAGGGCAGGAAGGAATGACGGAAGGAAATAGGGCAACAATTTATAAATCTAAAATAGTAATTTATATATTTTTTATTTTCATAAAAATGTAATACAATCAATTTTTATTTGATAGGTGATAACAAATCAGACAACACTTAGAAAAATGTTAACCTGCTAAACACATTGAGTTCTATTTTCACCATAATCAATTTTGAAATCACCATAGACTATGTCACTTCTCTATTAGTTATTAGTGTAATCTCCCAAATACGAAAACATTGTCCATTGAGACAAGTTTGTAGGAAGTTTGTAAGTGGATCATTTTTATGATTTATTCTACATTTAACTCATTAAAAGTGCATTTAAAGTCTAGTTCATCAATAGTTAACAGCCTAGACTTTAATTACATGTTGGCTACACTCAGTGAGAAAAGACAAATTTCATCAGAAGCTGAATTAGTAATCTTAGAATCATACATTGTAAGAGCTTTAGAGATGATCCCATAAAAATTCTTCTTTTAAAATGGGAAACCTGAGGCTCAGAGAAGGGATGTGACTTGCTCAAGACCACTCTCAGGATTATCAGAGATTTTATCTGAAAAAATTTTCAGTTGGAAGGAAGTCCAAACAAAACCACTCATTTCCCCACGTTCCGGTTTTCCTGTTCACCAACATATTTAACCCAGGGCCAACCTAGGAACCAAGATTTAGGATCAAACCTTTCCTTGGGCTGCGTTCACTCACCGTGTTAGCAATCTCCTGGATTTCTGGAGTGGCAGGTTTGGCTTCAGTTAAACCTCCAGGGATCATTTTGGCTAATTGTGTCTTTTCTGGGCAGGATGCTGGCGCTGAAGTTGTCAGGTAAGGGTGGAGGCTCTGGTATTTAAAGAGGCTGTTGTTCACAAGCTCCGCCTATAGAATGTTTTGTTTTCCTCAGAGAGAAAAAAGTACAGGGAAAATGAGTATGCCTTGAAGTAAGATATCTTGCTTCCTCCATGGAAAACACTAACAGGACTTGCAAAGAATGAGGGGCCAGGGAGGAATGAATGGGTGTGTACAAGGTGTTGTGTTGGAACAAGAGTCAAACTTTGTGTTCTCTTTGACAATGGTTTCATCCTGTTGCATCTGAAGTATGAAATCTGAAACCACAACCAGAGTTTCCCAATGTTTAAAACCTCTAACAAAACTTTATTTTTTCAAGGAATACCTTTTAATAATGTCAAGGCTGATTGTTTAAAATGGACTTAACTTTATAAAAAGAAACTAAAAGATCTATCTTGAGAACCTTGGCTGGATATTTGTATTTTACTTTTATTTACATTCTAGAACTGCTTAAAATACAGAAAAACTTAAAGGATAAAACAACAAACACCTTTTATTCCTATCATCCAGAATTAAAACTTTTAACATTCGGTCATATTGCTTCCCATCTGTTTTTTTTAGGTAGCCGTTTTCAAGAAATAAACGATCACAGTTTGCTACTCCCTCATCCCCAGTCTTGCCCTCCACACAGGTAAACTACATTGTGAGTTATGTATCCTTCTAGCCCATTTGTAAAATACTTTTATTTAGTGTGTTTTTAAAAATCTGCTTAAATTTTATACTGAACAAATACTCTGTATCATCCCTTTTTTCTATTCAATATGTTCTTTTAGTCATTCCATGTTGATACAGGTGATTCTCACCTGATCTCCGCAGTAGTCAGCCATGGGCAAAGCAGCATTTCCTCTGTTCTCTTTCTAGAGCTTATGCTCTGTTCCTCTCAGATTCTCTCTTTATTCTCAATAATTGCTTTTAGAAGCAAAAGCTTCCTCAAAGCACAGGTTGCTCTTGTCCTACTATGCATCCTCATTGTTTTTAAGGTAAAAAGAATGCTTCTTATTGACAGGGGAAGAGTCACATAAGGAAGTGCAGAAAAATACAACAATTAATATCTCTGTTAACTATTTAATTAAACACAGTTAATTAAATACATATTTATTTATTTAAGTTTTATTTACCTTGGTTAATAGGCAGTGATGATCTCAAAAATCTTTCTCTTCATCAGATACTTGATCCCCTTATAAATATTTGGGTTTTTGAGCTTGAACATGAGCTTTACTCCATCAGTAGCATGATTTTCCTGTAGTAGTATATTGTGAAGCTCTTCTTCTGAAGAAAATTGAATCCAATCCATACTTCTGTGAAAGCCAATCTCTTTGTCAAAAGGTACAGTGCACTTTCCCACATGGCCAAATTGTACAGTGTCCTCTCAGCTCACTCAAGTGGTCTAGGGAATTTTTCTGACAAATGCAATAGACCAGCTGATGTTCAATGTTTGTTAGCAGCTCCATAGCTCCTCTCACTGCCCAGAACACCATCTTCAGGTTAATATACATTTATTTTCAAGTACCTTTAAGATAGTATTATTGGATTGGGGGGGTATCAATTATTCAGGCTATTTTTACAAAACTTGACATTCTCATAAGTTTCGTATTTCTTGTCTTCCATAGGAATTATCTTTTATGGGAGATTTCCCTTGGTGGGGGCTAGGTTTTGGGTGGTTGCCTCTACTAGGCCACATGGGGTGTATAGTCCCCAGACAAGGTCTTATTTTACTCTAGGCTTAGGACTCTTAATTCATGAAGATATTGAGAATTTGGGTTTATCTCTGGCTTTTGGTTCAGGCCTGGGACTCTGGACTTCCTCAGCTAACTCTGCTTCCACCCACGGTGGGGGTGAATACATCACTCACTATACATCCCATCATGTCCACTCCTAGGTGTTGACCTAAAAGGGGTGAAAACATACGTCCACACAAGACTTGTGTACAAATGTTCACAGCTACATTATTCATAATAGTTCAAAACTGAAATGACTCAAATGTTCCTCAACTGGTGAATCGATTTAAGAAATTGTAGAGATTATCCAGCCTCACGGTTGCATGAGACACTCGCTTTGTCTCTCTGCTTCAATTTCCAACCAGTAAAACATCTGTAACTGAACAAGGCTTCTTTATTCCAGCACAACAGGATGCCGAAGAGCACCATACATCGGTACATCTAAAAGTGGGTGGACTGAATACATAGAGGAGGTAGAGCTGAGGCAACAGTGGAAGCAGTGTCTGCCGTCCTGGACTCCTGGCTGCAAATGGCTGGGCCCATTGCCCCAGAAAAGCCAGTAGGAACAGGGGAGGCGGCACACAGGTCTGTGGCCTCCCGGCTCCAGCAGTGCTCACAGCCATGGGGAGCTGGGCAGCACCAGCAGTGGGGCCTCTAATCCTGTTCCTCCAGCCATGGAGGTGCCTGCAAGTCCAAATCCCTGCCTGCAGCTGCGGCACCCCTGAACTTCAACCCCCAGAGTGCCTGTGACCCTGGCTCCCCCCACCTCCTGTCCCCTTGCAGTGGTGAAGCCTACAACCCAGGAAACCCCAGACAAGGTTGAGGCACCAGCCATCCTGGAGCCCCAAGTGGCTTCCCTTGTTGCAGAGCACAGGCTCTAGGGGGCTCGAGGCTTCAGTAGTTGCAGCTCACAGGCTTTAGAGCACAGTCTCAGTATTTGTGCACATGGGCTTATGCATCCCCGTGGCATATATGATCTTTCTGGACCAGGGATTGAACTCATGTCCCCTGCATTGGCAGGCAGGTCCTTAACCACTGGACCACCAGGGAAGTCCTTAACATTTTCTCTTAGGAAAGAATCTGCAAACATGAGAAGCCACTTCAATGAGAAGCCTGTGCACCGCAACTAGAAAGTAGTCTCCACTCACCACAACTAGAGAAAGCCTTTGTACAGCAATGAAGACCCAGCAAAGCCAGAAAATAAATAATTAATTAAAATATATTTTTCAACTCCTTCTTAAGGTATAACCAGCAAATAAAATTATAAGATATTTAAAGAATACATTGTGATGATTTTGTATATGTGTACCTTGTGTAAGGATTGCAGCATGGAGTTAATTAACACATTCATCAACTCAAATATTTACCTTTTTTGGATGAGGGTAGTGAAAAACTTCAATCTACTTAAAAAATTTCAATTATACAGTACAGAATTCTCAACAATAGTCACAATATTTCTCATGGATCCTCATATCTAGTCATCTCATAACTGACAGTCTATACCCTTTCACCAGCCTGTCCTTGTTTGCCACATTCCCAGCTTCTGGCAACTACATTCCATTCTCTGTTTCTATGAGTTCAATCTTTTCCCCTTAGATTCCACATATAAGTGATATCATGTGGTATTTGTCTTTCTCTGTTTGACTTTATTTCACATAGTAAAATGGTTTTTACATTCATCCATGTTATCACAGATGGCAGAATTTCCTTCTTTTTAAAGGTTGAATAATGTTCCACTATCTATGTCTATATCTACATCATCTATCTATATTATATCTCATATAGATATACATATCTATAATATATTATAGATAATACATTATCTATTATCTTTATTCATCTGTTGATGAACACTTAGATGTGACAATACCATGGTTGCTGTGAATAAAGCTGCAATAAATATGGGAGTATGGATGTCTCGTCGAGACAGTGATTTCATTTCCTTTGACTTATACCCTAAAGTGGACTTATATATGTATACATAATACTGTAATAAACATGGGGATGTAGGTATCTTTTCAACAGAGTGATTTTGTTTTCTTCAGAAAAGCCCAGAAGTGGAATTGCTGGATCATATGAATTGGAATTCAAGAATAAATCTTTTAGCAACCTGCAGCTTTTCTCACTTCAAAAGGGATTGCAGCATCTGTCATCTTCTCCTCCTTCTCTGCAGGACAAAGGAACTGATCTCACCAACCACAAAGGCTTTTCGGGGCTCTAAGAACAATGTGGAAAAGCTTGTCTGATCCTTGCTCAAGCAGCCTGATTTCTGAGTTGCACTGTGTTATTGCCTTTTGAGGGGAAAGGGAAGGGAACTTTAGGGGTTTACACACCCTGGATATTCATCAATTGACCTGGCAGCATTGGAGTCGGTTTAGTCAATTGTTATGACTAATGATAAAAGCCAGGGTGGGGTAATATTATGCAATCAGTGTTATTGCACCTCTCCCTAGGGAGGAAATTCTGTCCTGCCTGACACATTTGGATCATAGGCATATTCCAGCATGGCTTCCCATCAGTTTACACTTTGGAAAAAATGGGCACATACATAAACTTAAGGCTGTGTTCTCAAAGGTTTCTTAATAAATGTTAATTTGTGAGTTTGACTCTGCATGGGTTACTTGTGTTGCGGATTCAGCTTAGTGGTGACCCTAACATGTAATCTGGGGACCCCTACACCAGAATCCCCTGGGATTCTTGTTCAATGCAGATTCTGAGCCCCTTCCCACATTTATTAAATTACACTCTCTAGAGTGAGCTTTAGAATCTGCATTTTAAGAAAGCTCCCCAGACTAGTCTTGTGAGCATTAAATTTAGAGACCTAGCAAATAACAGTGTTGGTATGCTAGGTTTACAGGTGTGGTGGGGACGGTGAAAAGGAGGAAATCTGGATGGCCAGTCCATTGCTACATGGAAACGACGTAGCAATGATAAAACAAATGAAAACAGCCCAAGGCAAGAACTAAGGCAGATGTTGTTAACATGTGTTGTTCATATTGAGTTAGTTGCAAGTTGATTCCGGGTTTCATGTAGTAGCACATTCAGCTGAGAGCATGTTTTGAGCTAGTCTTTAAAAGTGTTTGTTCTTGGACTTCCCTGGTGGTTCAGTGGTTAAGAATCTGCCTGCCAGTGCAGTGGACATTGATTTGATCTCTGGTCCAAGAAGACTCCACATGCCACAGGGCAACTAAGCCTGTGTGCCCACACTGCTGAGCCAGCGCTCCTAAAGCCTGCAAGCCAAAACTACTGAAGCCCTTGAACCCTAGAGCCTGTGCTGTGCAACAGCAGAAGCCACCAAAATGAGCAGCCCGTGCACAGCAACTAGAGAGTAGTCCCTGCTCACCGCAAGTAAAGAAAGCCCGAATGCAGGAATGAAGACCCAGTGCAGACAAAAATAAAATAAATAAATACAATTATTAAAAAATTAGAATAAAGCTTTTGTCCTAGCTCAAAGGCCATGGCCCCAATCCTAGTTGAGGATTCTGTGACTGGGCAGGTGGAGCTATTTAATCAATAGAGGACAGAAGTTGGTCATAGCCCCACCACAGTGTTAATCAAAAGTCAAACAATCAATATTTCTCTACAATCTGTAGAATCCCTTTGCCTGCTGTGTCATTTCCATTTTAACCTTCCTAGTATTCCTTTTCTCCTGCACTGATCCAGCCACCCTAGGAAAGAAGGTAAGGCAGGGTTAAACATTAAATCTTCTCTTATTTTGCATTCATTGTTATTTAGAAATACTGTATTCTTATAGAGCACTTTCTAATGACTGAAACAGCATTAAAGAGAATGAATGAGGTTTTGTCCTAATATTACTGAAGTCTTGGAAATCTCTAACTTAAAGGCTCATTGCACAGAAATCCAGGGGCAATATTGCTAGGAATTACTCAAATAAACTGGCAGTTTATGACTTTACAAGGTCTCACCCTTCACTATACCTGATTTCACAGGAATAGCTCTGTCAAAATTGTCACCACCCTCTTACTGGATTATTGCTGATGCTTCCTGGCTGGGTCTTATCCTTCTAGTTCCTCCTGAAAATCAAACTCTCTCATTCACTTAAAAAAATGTTGCTCCATAACCTGGGAATTTCCTGTCATCTATCAGTTATTAGTTGCCCAGTTGCCTCTGGCTCTTTGTGACCCCATGGACTGTAGCCTGCCAGGCTCCCCTGTTCATGGAATTCTCCAGGCAAGAATATACTGGAGTGGGTAGTCATTTCCTTCTCCAGGAGATCTTCCTGACTCAGGTATTGAGCCTGGGGCTCTTACGTTGCAGACAGATTCTTTACCATCCAAACCACCAGGAAAGCCCATCTACCAGGGAAGTTATCTATCAAATCCAGTCTAAATTCTTAAGAAATACACTCAAATACTCAAGATCCTTCTTGAGCCAGCCTCCTTCTTCAGAACTCCCCTCCAGGTGAGTCCTAGTGTCTCTCACTCCTCTTCCTCATCCTCACATTTGCCTCCATGTTCCTGCTCGTACAATGTCCCTTCACATGGGTGTTAATCTTCTCTTTCATAAATTTACATTCAGTACTGCTTTTAAAGGACTTCCCAGGTGGCATTAGTGGTAAAGAACCCACCTGTCAATGCAGGAGACATAAGAGATCAGGGTTCGATCCTTGGGTCAGGAAGATCTCCTGGAGGAGGGCATGACTAACCCACTCCAGTATTCTTGCCTGGAGAATCCCATGGATGGAGGAGCCTGGTGAACTACAGTCCATAGGTCACAAAGATTCGGATGCAATTGAAGCGAGTTAGCATGCACACACTGTTTTCAAAAACCACACCATCCAGAGCTTTCTGGTTCCCCTTAGGTTTGTGTTTGCACTAGATATTCCTGTTATTTCAGGTATTAACATATATTTTGTTTATCTTCTCCACAATCTGATTGTAATCTCTTCTATGGCAGACACTGTTTTCTTGGCTGCTACCCACTGTATTTCCTAGGTTATCAAGCACAGCTTCTGCCCAGCAAACATGTGAGAAAATTCATAGGTCTCACTACTGTCCTTTTGGGAGACGGGGTCAACCATCCAACACAGACCTCTGGAGTCCTTGAACATCATTGACTGAACATGTCTTGGTCAAGTTTTCCATTTTTTAGTTGAAACTGCAGCTCAGTTTGAGTTCACAGTTCTTGTTAAGCTTAGGACTGGGACTAGACTTAACCACCAGTTTGTGTGTGTTAGTTGCTCAGTTGTGTCCGACTCTGCAGCCCCATGGACTGTAGTATGCTAGGCTCCTCTGTCCATGAAATTCTCCAGGCAAGAATATTGGAGTGGGTTACTGTTTCCTTCTCCAGGGGATCTTCCTGATCCAGGGATCAAACCTGGGTCTCCTACATTGCAGGCAGATGCTTTACTGTCTGAGCTACTAGGGAAGCCCTTAACTACCAGTTTAAATGATTTTAAAAACCCTAAAGAAAGAGAAAATCCAGTCAACCACTTTGCCAACAGGCTGTAACACCTTCTGGTGTCTGTCTGCTTATTTGTATCTCCCTAACGATAACACCAGAGAAGGCAATGGCACCCCACTTCAGTACTCTTGCCTGGAAAATCCCACGGATGGAGGAGCCTGGTGGGCTGCAGTCCATGGGGTCGCGAAGAGTCGGACATGACTGAGAGACTTCACTTTCACGCATTGGAGAAGGAAATGGCAACCCACTCCAGTGTTCTTGCCTGGAGGAGGGATGGGGGAGCCTGGTGGGCTGCCGTCTATGGGGTCGCACAGAGTCGGACACGACTGAAGCGACTTAGCAGCAGCAGCAACGATAACACACGGTTTCACGTGTATAAGAATGGTAAGGGTCACGTTCTTCTTTTCTTGTTTTCCTTTTTTTTCTTATCATCATATGGATAAGCTAGGCTTATACTTTCTGGATAAACTGAAGATATTTTCTGTGTTTTCATACAGAAAACGGTTAGACTCTAGAGAGATTGACAACTTAATGGCAAGAAAAGCAGGGCACCCCTGGCAACCAAGGGTAGCCAGAGCCTTGGCAATCTCTGTCTCGAGCTGCAACTGAGGATGAGCCAGGAAGCAGGTCAGAACTGAAAAACCTGTGGAACAACTGAAGCATGTTTAGAAATTGCAAATAGAACCCTTGTTTGGCCCTGGTTGTCATTCCTTACATATCTGGGTTTAAATATAATTCATACAACCCTAACCACAGCCTTCAATTTTCCATCTTGAATTGATTCTATATTCCATCCTGCAATATAAAGGATTCCAATCAGCCATGCCAGGTGCTTACAACATATCATTGAGATAAATGTGTACCATTTGTAATTGAGAAGCTAGGGAACAGAGAAGGGAAGAAAAATAAGGGTAAGAAGAAAAAAAAATTGAATCAAAAGTGAGGTGGTTACACTAAACGTTGGCATCTCTAAGGGAGGGTTAGTTGCTAGAGACAAAATACAAAATCATACTGTTTCCTTAATTAAAACCCTTTGATAGCATTCCATTGTCCTTAGAACACAGTTGTCACATGCCCTTTCTGATCTGGCTCCTGTTAAATTCTCCTTGAGTGTCTTCTTTGTTGCCTCTTTGCTTGTGCTGAAAGCCTTTTCCAGCCATTTGGCTAGCTGATACCTCTTTATCCTTCAGGCCTTTTGGGCCAAAGTGTGTCCTCCTAAATTCATGTGAGGTCCTAGTCCCTAGTACTTCAGAATGCAACTGCATTTGGGGACAGGGTCCTTAAAGAGGTAATTGAGTTAAAGTGAGGTAATTAGGGTGGTCCTTAATCCAATATCTGACTGATATCCTTATGTATGTGGCTAGTCACTCAGTCGTGTCCGACTGTTTGTGACCCCACAAAGAGTACAGGCTCCTCTGTCCATGGGGATTCTCCAGGCAGGAATACTGGAGTGGGTTGCCATGCCCTCCTCCAGCGGATCTCCCCAGCCCAGGGATTGAACCCAGGTCTCCTACATTGCAGGCGGGTTCTTTACCATCTGGGCCACCAGGCAAGCCCACCATCCCTAATAGAGGAGGACCGGCCTTCCGTCAAGGGTATAGGAGTAGCTCTGCTCCCCCGCTAGAACTTCCAAACAAGCTGTCAAGGTGTCCTTATAAGAAGAGGAAATTAGGATTCAAACATACAGAGGGAAGGCCATGAGAAGAAAAATAAGGTGGACATTTACAAGCCAAGGAGAGAAAACGCATTTCTGCTGTTAAGCCATCTTATCTGTAGTCCTTTGTGTGGCAGCACTGGAAAACTAACACAAGACCTAAGCCCTTGGGATGCAACCTCCTCCAACTCCTCCCCCCACCTACTTCCCCTCTCTCCCCA